CTCAGGGTAGTAGGTTTACCCACCGGGGTATATACCTGGTCATAGTGAACACCTCGTGTTTGAGTGTTCCCCATGGCCACCAACCTGGACTTAGGCCTCTCAATACTCCCATCAGCCATGTGTTTATACTTCCACACCCACTGACACCTCAAGACCTCCATTCCAGGTGGCACACAAGCTGGATCAACCAGCTCAAAGGACTCGTTCACCCTATGAGACTCAAGCTCCTCACGCATGGACTCGACCCACTCAGGACGGGACAAGGCCTCCTTGACCGACTTAGGCTCATGCACCTGACCCATGAGACAGAAATCAAGCCCAAGCTCACCCCTTTCAGCATCCACAAGCATGCACTCCTCCAAATCATGCACCTCATGATCATGCATGCAAGCATACTGTGCACTTGGTGTGAACCTTTCAGGTGGCCGGGAGATGCGTGTGGTGCGGCGCAGAGGTGATGCCTCCCCCTGCTCCAAACTTTGCAGCTTCTCCTTCCAAGTCACTCTCTTCATGGGGGACCGTGGTGACTTGGACAGCTGCTCGTGAAGTTGTTGCTGCCACCTACCCACAGGAACAGGCGGTGTATGCTGCTGCGGCTTCTCTTGTTGCTGCTGCTACCCCTGTGGCTGCTCCGGGTCATGGGCTGGTGCGTTAGGGTCAGGGGTAGAACCAGCATTTGGTGACTCCTCATGGTGAGGTGCAGCTGCCCTTTGTTCCTCTTGCTGCTCCTCTACCTCCTCTCCAGGGTCCTCCCATGTCCCCTCAAAAATGGAAGAGGTGTAGGGATCTTGGAGGGAGCTCCCAACTGTACTAGTGCCATGCTCCTTCCACCCCTTGTAGCTCAGCCCCTCGTGGAAAACCACGTCCCGGCTTTCCACCACCCGCTGATCTGCCACACTCCACAACACCCATGCCTTGCTCCTCTCTGACACCCCAAGGAAAATGCCCCATTGTGCCTTGGGATCCAGCTTCCTCCGTTGCTGGTCGGGCACTTTGTACTGCGCCATGCACCCCCACACTCGTGCCATGGACACACTAGGCACCTTCCTGGTCCACATGAAGTATGGGCTCTTGCCCCCTAGCCCCTTGCTGCCCATCCGGTTCTTAACCCAGTTGGCATATTGCACTGCTGCCCCCCACCAAGTATGGTCCAGCTGTGCATGAGCAAGCATGGCTCGAGCAAGGTCAATGAGGGTCCGGTTAAGCCGCTCTGCTGCCCCATTTTGCTACAACGTGTAGGCAACTCTGGTGGGTGATTCCCTTGTCTTCAAGGAAAGACTCTAGATTCTTCCCCATGTACTCTCCACCCCGATCAGACCTTAGTATCTTCACCTTGGCCCCGGCTTCCCTCTCCGCATAGCGTATCCAACGCTTGAACACCTTGGCCACTTCACCCTTGGTTTTCACCAAGGTGACCCAACTGAGGCGGCTGTAGTCGCCTAGAAAGGTGATGAAGTACCTGCTGCCCTTCTCTCTGTCCGGAGTTTGCATGGGGCCACACACATCCGTGTGCACCAACTCAAGAGGTGCGGTGGCCCGAGAGGTGGAGGTTGCAAAGGAGGTCCTTGGCAGCTTCTCGGTTGTGCAATCAGGGCACTTGCTTGGCTGCCCACCACCCTCCTTGATCTCCACACCCTTCAGCTCCCCCTTCTTCACACACTCCACAAGTTGTTTTTTCCCCGCATGCCCCATGCGTAGGTGCAGCAAATCCGCCGTCACCTGCTCCACGTCCTTCCAACGGGTGCTGCAAGCTGCATCCTCGGCTTCAAACCCATGTGCCTTCTCCACTTGAGGCACACACACTGGAACAAGGTACAGTCCCTTCTCTAACTTGGCCTCCATCACCACAGCTCCACCCTTGTGAATCGTGCACCCTCCCATGGTGAAGGTGCATGCGTATCCTTGCCTAGCAAGCTGAGAGCATGAGAGGAGGTTGGCTGCCAATCCTGGAACATGAAGCACACCCTTCACATGTAGCACCTCCCCAACCTTCCGCTTAATGGTGATGGTGCCGATGCCGGTTGCTTGCAGCGTATCTCCGCTCCCCACGATCACATTTCTTGAGTTAGGTGGGAGGGAGTGGTAGGTGGTGAAGAGGTCACGCCGTGGTACCATTCCACAAGTGGCACCAGAGTCTAGAACGAGGTGATTGGGGTCAGCCAACACGCAGCCAGCAAGCGCCGTCTCCTTCTCCAAGGTAAGGAAGGAGAAACCGTCATCCGACGAGTCCTCCTTTCCCTTCCCACCATCATTTGCCGCTGCTGCCGCCGCTTTTCCTTTGCTGCCCTTCTTGTTCCAGGCTCCATTCTTCATCCTCTTCTCCACCCACTCAGGCCTAGTGACAGGTGGAGCCTCTCCTGGGTACCCTTGAGGCTTCCACCCATCTGGCCGGCTCCAACACTCCTTCCACGAGTGCTTCCGGTTGCATCCAGGGACGAGGCACTTGTCTATCACCTTCTTCTTCCCCCCACCTCCTTGCCGCTGCTGGTACTTCTTGGAGGCAGCCCTATCACCTGCCCCCATTCCCCCTTCAACTCCTCTACCAGCATCCCGTTTGCGAGCCTCATCAGAGACCAACACCTCCCATATCCAGGCCTTGGTCCATTTCTGCTGCTCAAGGTGAAGGTACTGCAGTAGGGCCTCGTTCGCCTCTTGGTCCAGCCCCTGGAGTGCGGTGTAGATGATCTCCTTCTCATCTACAGTGTAGTTCAACTCCTCTAAGGCTCTCACATACTCGTCCACTCTCTGGAGATACTGCACCATGGTCTCCCCATCACCATAGTTGCGTTCCATGGTGTAGAACCGCTTCCTCCAGGTGAGTATGCTTAGTAGCCCTTTTTGCAAATGTCGATCTTGAACTCTCTTCCATGCTTGGGCAGCTGCTCCTTGCTTCCCCTTCAGGTCAATCAGCATCTTAAGGAGCTCTAATTGGCCTTCCAAGGCCCAACACAGGTACTGGAACGCTTGCTTGTCCTTGCGGTCCCATGCTTCCTGTGCCTTAAGTAGCTCCTCCGCACTAAGCCGTTGCCTTCCGGTTCGTGGTGCTGCTGATCCACCTCCACTTCTCTCAGTTATAGATGAGCTAGAGCCCCCCCCAGCCCCTTCTCCCACTTGGCTAGAGACTCCAGTAGATGCCTTTCCTTCATCAGCTTCAGGTTTTCGCTTCGATCCCTCCAAAACGCCCTCTAGGTCTTTAATACCTAGCCAAAGCGTAAACTGGAACCACCATAGCGAAAAATCTGAGCCAGTGAACCTAGGAGGGCCATCTAATTTCTGGGCCATGACCAACCCTAGATCTGGAGGTTCTTAAGCCAATTCGAAATATAATAATTGGAGGGAATGTCGCAGGCCTAACCAGCTCTGATACCACTGATGGAAAGCGCGCGAATCTGGAGAGCGTAACAAGAGATTAAGTCTGCCGACTTCGGCGAACCATTGCGTGCAGCTCACGTAATCTAAAAATATGAGCAGGTGTGCGTTGGAAAGGACTTAATCTCTACTTTCCAGAATAGTAAAGTATGCTTTCAACCAAGATCTAGGCCGATCGCTATCGCGATTTAAGTGCGACAGAGTATCCTGGCGGAATTACTTGGCAGCCATGGATTAGATATAGGAATGGCTTAAAGCTCAAGGCCCAAATTGCGGGGCGCGCGACGCAGGGCACGGCAGGGCAGGGCGTTTGTGGGGTGGCGCAACGCAATGCAGGGTAGGGCATGTGCGTGTGGTGGGGCAGCGCCACGGGCAGAATACGATCGGTGGGCCCTAACGAGAACGGTCCTGGGACAGGACCTGCTCTGAAACCATGTCAGAATGAACTGTAGGAATGGATGAACTATGCAACAGTTTGGTACAAGTACTAACCCTAAACTGGGTTGTACCCTATATAGGCTACCCCAATACAGCCTACACAACACAATGTTTTGACAGCAAGAGGTTAAGCGAAGGTCAAAGGTCAGCGACCTTGGTCTCCCTGAAAAGCAGCGCGACAACAAGGACATACAACTGAGTCGTCATTAAGCAGTTGCCCGAGTCGTCGCTGTATCGAATCGCAATAGCAACTATAACAGCAGTCAGTTAAACCTTTCATATTCCTTGTAATCATATAAAAATCTTTGTATTTCCTTGCTATCTCAACTTATCTTGTCCTCATACACCAGCACAAGGTGGTTCAACCAGTTCACTAGAACACTTCCGCAATTTACATCATTGTCCTAATTCTTAGTCTTGAAAACGATCCTAAGGGCTTTTTTCAGCCCAACACCATCCATCCCCCTCCTACCAAGTTCAGCAAACCCACACTCCCACAAAATACCCTGCTGTGAAGCAGGCTGCACAAAAGGGTGGTGCCTCACCATGCTTCCCAACCCTCATCCCCAAAAGGGCCAAACCCCCCACTTGCTATTCGCTGCTGTGCTTCTGTGTCATCAGCTACCTTCATCCACAACTGCATTCCCCTTGGTTTTTTTATCCACAAGCCATGCTTGTTCAGTCAGCGTCTTTTTTTTTCTGTAAAACAACTATTTCTTCTTAGTGCAGCAGTCAAGGTCACCCTGGGCGCCTAGAGGGAGCGAGCACGGACTTGGACGTTGTGCTGGGCCGCTTGCGTTCACCTTCCACTTGCACTGCTCGCACCTCCCTGTGCACAACAAACACACCTGGGCTTCGGAATCAGTGACACTCCCTCCACGCGCCTCACATTCACTCCCTTGCTGCTGGGTTTCGGGATGCGCGTCGGCGGTGCACTATGTGCTGCCTTGCTGCAACCAGCTGACGTCGTTGACGCTCGGGAATCCGCTGTGGGATTCGCCGACGCTACAGGTTCGGTCTCGGCAGAATGCGCTGAAGATGCAGGTTCCGCCGAAGCTGCAGATTCGGCCGAAGCTGCAGGTTCCGCCGAAGCTGCGGGTTCCGCCGAAGGTACAGATTCCGCCGACGCTGCAGGTTGCGATGCTGCGGGATCCGACACTGCAGCACGTTCCGACTCTTCACAATTGCCCGCTTTAAGCATCACTCCATCTAACCTTACGTTTCCCGAAACCAGATTTTGCGTCGCCGCTTGATCCGACATCACAGGTGGAAGCACCGGAAGCATCGGCGGTGCTGCTGTGTGGTCGGCTTCGTTGCATAGCGGCGGCGTCATCGCGAGTATCGCCATTTTTGGTGCCGTCGCAGAAAGCAGGGAAGGGGATGGGGGGAAGCAGGGAAGGGGATGGGGGGAAGCAGGGCACGGGATGGGGGGAAGCAGGGAGGTGGATGGGGGGAAGGCGGGAAGGGGATGGGGGGAAAGGCGGGAAGGGGATGGGGGGAAGCAGGGAAGGGGATGGAGGAAAGCAGGGAAGGGGATGGGGGGAAGCAGGGAAGGGGATGGGGGGAAGCCTAGCACGGGATGGGGGGAAGCAGAGCACGGGATGAGGGGAAGCAGGGAGGGGGATGGGGGGAAGGCGGGAAGGGGATGGGGGGAAGCAGGGAAGGGGATGGGGGGAAGCAGGGAGGGGCATGGGGGGAAGCAGGGAAGGGGATGGGGGGAAGGCGGGAAGGGGATGGGGGGAAGCAGGGAAGGGGATGGGGGGGAGCAGGGAGGGGCATGGGGGGCAGCAGGGAGGGGGATGGGGGGAAGCAGGGAGGGGGATGGGAGGAAGCAGGGAGGGGGATGGGGGGAAGGCGGGAAGGGAATGGGGGGAAGCAGGGCACGGGATGGGGGGAAGCAGGGAGGGGGATGGGGTGGAAGCAGGGAGTGGGATGGGGGGAAGGCGGGAAGGGGATGGGGGGAAGCAGGGAAGGGGATGGGGGGAAGCAGGGAAGGGGATGGGGGGAAGCAGGGCACGGGATGGGGGGAAGCAGGGAGGGGGGGTGGGGGAAAGCAGGGCACGGGATGGGGGGAAGCAGGGAGGGGGATGGGGTTGAAGCAGGGATGGGGATGGGGGGAAGGCGGGAAGGGGATGGGGGGAAGCAGGGAAGGGGATGGGGGGAAGCAGGGAAGTGGATGGGGGGAAGCCTAGCACGGGATGGGGGGAAGCAGGGAAGGGGATGGGGGGAAGCAGGGAAGGGGATGGGGGGAAGCAGGGAAGGGGATGGGGGGAAGCAGGGAGGGGGGTGGGGGGAAGCAGGGCAGGGGATGGGGGAAAGCAGGGAAGGGGATGGGGGAAAGCAGGGAGGGGGATGGGGGGAAGGCGGGAAGGGGATGGGGGGAAGCAGGGAAGGGGATGGGGGGAAGCAGGGAGGGGCCTGGGGGAAGCAGGGAGGGGGACGGGGGGAAGGCGGGAAGGGTATGGGGGGAAGCTGGGAAGGGGATGGGGGGAGCAGGGAGGGGCATGGGGGGAAGCAGGGAAGGGGATGGGGGGAAGCAGGGAAGGGGATGGGGGGAAGCAGGGAAGGGGATGGGAGGAAGCAGGGAGGGGGATGGGGGGAAGGCGGGAGGGGGATGGGGGGAAGCAGGGAAGGGGATGGGGGGAAGCAGGGAAGGGGATGGGGGGAAGCAGGGCACGGGATGGGGGAAAGCAGGGAGGGGGATGGAGGGAAGCAGGGCAGGGGATGGGGGGAAGCAGGGAGGGGGTATTAGTGGGGGGAAGGAAGGCGATTATTTGAGTGAGGACAAAGAGGTAGTAGGGGGAAAATACGTAGGGTGAACAGTGTGCAAGATGGGAAGGGAGACGGGAGGGAAGGCGAGGGCGACGAGCGGTGGATGGCAGGGCGATGGGGAAAGCGAGGGCGACAGGGAGAGAATTGACGGGGAAAGCGAGGGCGACGGGGAGAGAGGGAGACAGGGATTGGAGGGCGACAGGGAGAGAGGGAGACAGGGAGGGCGACGGGGAGAGAGGGAGACAGGGAGCGCGAGGGGACGAGCTGAAGGGAGGGCGACGGGAGTGTCAAACTTGACGAACCTGCTTGCAAAGGTTTGGGTGTGTCAACAGGTTAGGGCGGTATGTTTTGGTGTTGAGGGTACAGTGTTCAGGTTTCGCTCAAATCACCCCCTCTCTCGTGCAAAAAGTCGCTGCTCGTGCACCAATCACAGGTGCCACCTACCAACCAAGTGTAATACGGTAGAAATTGAGACGCGAGTTTTAAGGCCAACTAAATGCCCGCTGGAATTCGGCACGATCGCAGAGCTATGGAGTGGTGAAAACCACTGCCTATTGCAATCTGAAGCAAGAAAAGACGGTGGTTCGTCATTTCCTCGAGTGGAGGAGACAGGAGGCACAGCCTGCGTGCGCTGCAGAAGCTTGAAGGTGCCAAAAACTGTGGCTTCCCATCTAACCTCGATTTACTTCGGTAAATCGGCTTCGCGCGTGTTTCTGCTGGTTTCAGAGCTTTTCGCCAGAAATGGTTCGGCCTGACTTGTCGGCCCCAAACCTACTCTGGAGACGCCCCAAAAGCCTTTGTTATACGTGTTGTGTGATGCTATCATTCGCATTCACGTCTGTCTGCCTCCCATCATATGTTTGTGCGTTGCATGCGTGGTGTAAGCGTGTGCAAGAATTTGTGTTTGGTGTGTTTTGGAGTTCCTGAGTGTGTGTGAATGTTATCTTGCTTGAGCAGATATCTGAAATGACTTCTCTGCTCAAGAGCTTTCCGACGAACCAAGAATCGTCGCGATCGGAGCAAGAACGAGAAAGTTATTATCGTTCGAAGTTTTAATTGTAATGCAGCGACTATGGGAATTTGCAGAGAGACTCAATATGGGGTACAGACTTTTGGGGGTTGGGAAATTCGTCCCCATCACTGTAGATGATGCCAAGTGGTTGGGAGAAACCAAACCAGGTTGGCAAGGGTGGCCAAGTTGGGGTGAGGTGGATTGTGGAGGTTGGGAAATTGACAAGAGTCAGAGTTGGGGTTCCTATAGGGAGGGAATTGTGTGCTTATGGGGTTTCCTTGGTTGGGGACTCCCTTGGGACCTTCCCTCTCGTCCTTCTCTTCCCTCATACCTGGTTGATTGCCACTCTAATCCTCTTTGTGGTAACTTGTGAGAACAATTGTTATTGAGTAAAGTTTTCTGTGGCAGCATACCCCCTAGTGCGCCGAAAATCATAACTCGAGATATACTTCATCTTTTGATACGATTGAAATTGGGAACGATAGCCACAGTCCCGGGCTACAACATTCTTGAGTTTGAAACAATTCTAACGGTGCACTTTTCGTCGACGACGTTTCGTGTGAAATCGACGATTCTGCCCAGAAATTCAGGCCAACGATTTTGTGATATTTCGGCCCTTCATCTTTCTAGACTCCGTCCTTAATCTCTAACAATACGTCCGAGGCACTTTTTGCCCTCCGTTTTTTCCTACCTCGTTTGCTATGCCATACCTCGCATTTCCCGTTGTATACTTCCAAAACTTGCTGAAACTAAGTTGCGGTATAATTATTATATTATAGCACTGTATAATGGCTGAAATAATCATGCAGGTGCACCTAGAGGCTTTTCAAGCAGCGAAAAATGAACTACCAAATCTGGTACATAATCCATCAAGCATATATCATAGTAATATTACTCTGGCTTTCGTTGAATCGATTTTCTCATATTGTTGTTAGGCTGAGTGTACCGCTAGGATCATTGTCTATGCTTTGTTACAATCCCGCGAGGAATCAGCCAGGATCTTCTTACAGTTGATGGTAGGGTGATATTGCAGCGGGAACATTACATGCCTGAAGTGACTATAACACTATGTTAAACTATGTGTAAATATGTGAATCAGTGAAGAGTGGCACGCAACCTACCATCAAATCTCCTCGCGCCATTAAGGATTCGTGTCCTGTTCATTCGGCGTAGCGCTCCTTATCTAGTTCCTCTCACATACCCTGCCCTGCATCTCTTGTTCCGATCGCTCGTGTCTTCGCTAGCTCATAGCTCCATTAAGGCGTCCTCTCTAGTTTTACGTTTCAACGCCGAGGGTCGCCCGATCGAGTTTAGTACGAGGCTTATCCAGGCCCAACGTCACCTTAAGAGTCAACGTCAAGATAGCGCCCCCCTCTGTGCTCACGCATATGGCACTCTTCAGGCCCCTCCCCACCCTAGTCCTCAGCCTGCTACTCCCACCGCTATGCAGCAGGGTGACTACGATAGGCTGTTACTGGCGCGTAACGTCTCGGAGTCTCACGATGTCGCGGCCTTCAACGCCCTCACCGACCTTCTCCCGCCGACTGAGGCAGTCCATTTCTTCTAGTGTGATATGGAAAAGGACCTATAAGACGCTGTTCTTGCTCGCTATCGCTGTTCCTGTTCCCTGACCTGAGCTCGTTCAAGGCTGTCTCTGACCTTGTCACCCACCTCCGCTCTCTTAACACTAGGTTTCGTGCTCCCTGCACAAGGAACGGCTCAAACTTGCCCCACCGCCTATGTGGCTCACCCTCCACTGGTTAGTGACTTGCCTCCATGACCGCCTCTATTCTGCCCGCGACGTGCTTTTGCTGAAGCACCCCACTAAGCTCACTATCGATCTTCTTGAGTCCACCCTCACTAAGATTCGTCACTGCCACTGCTGCAGCACCTCCCCGTCTCTTTTTGTGGCCCTACGCGGTTTGCTACGCCACCCGCCAGCTGAACCTCTGGCATCGTGTCTCCTAACTAGGGCTTCACCGACCAGTCTTCCCTTGTGTTGCGTTGGAGTTTCGTGTCTGGGGCTACTTTGCGTTTGTCCACGACACCTCCTCGGAAAAGCTCTCAGCTCGCACCCTCCCCTATGTCTTCCTTGGTTTCCCGATAGACTCCTCTGACTTCGAGTTTTACCACCCGCCCCTCCACCTGTTCCTTGACTCCTATGACGTCCGCTTTGACGAGTCAGTGTCCTAATACGTCCGCTACCCCCACCATGGTCTCCCAATTCCTTCATCTTCCCTCTTTCTAGCTCCTACTCCTCCTCCTGCTCCTGCTTCTTTAGTAAACCCTCCCTCCCCAAGTACCTGCCCCATCAGGTGTGTCTCACGCTACCCCTCTCCCCTCGGTACCACGTCAGGATTCGTCTCCTTCCCCACACCCGTCCTCCCAGTCACCGCAACAGCCTTCGGCACTACCGTGACTGGTTGCAGTGGACCCTGGGGGTGTTTGTGCTAGAGACATGGGCGCTGGAGGAGCTGGTTCTGAGGGTGTTGGTGTTGGAGGCCAGGGCGCTGGGGATGCTGGTCCTGAGGGTGTTGCTGCGGGGGCCACGGCTACTGGGGGTGCTAGTTCCACAAGTGCTGAAGCTGGAGTTACAGGCACTGGTTGTTCTAGTTTTGGGGGTGCTGGAGCTGGAGGCGCTGACTCTAGGGGTGCTGGAGCTGTCGATGCTGGCGCTGGGGCTGCTAGTTTTGGAGGTGTTGGTTCAGGGGTTGCTAGAGTCATCGGTACTGCCACTGGAGGTGCTAGTTCTGAGGGGGCTGGAGCTGCAGGTTCTACTTCTACGGTGCCTACTCCGCCTCCTCACCGCTACCCGACGCGTTTCCGGGAGCTTCATCGGTTGGAGCGTGAGGAGCAGAAGGGGTTGGAGCAAGAGAGGCTAGAGCTAGAGCAGCAACAACGGGAGCCACAGCAGCGGGAGCCGCAATAGCGGGAGCAGCAGTAGCAGCACGAGCAGCTGTGGCAGCAGCAGCACGAGCAGCAGCAGCAGCAGCAGCAGCAGCTGCTGCTGCAGCAGCCACCTTTGCAGCAGTTGCCTCCACATGTGAGTGGCCTTTGGGCCTTTGGTCTTCCTTCCCCTCCTCGCGAACGCTCACCATCTCCTATTTCCTGTCCTCCTTTACCTCCCCCGAACCCGTCTTTGGCTGTTTTCTCTCCTCCTCGGTCCGAGTCGCCTCTTCCCATTGTTCCACTCGTTGTCCTGCTCGTGCTTGTCCCTCGTCTCCAGTCACCGACCTCCGCTCTGTCTTAATTCAGTTTAGTCTTCCTCGTTCTCCGCCTTCGCCTGTTCTCCCATCACCTCCTGAGTGGTCTCTTGCAGCCTCCTCCTTTCAACCTATCACTTACAACTTCCGCACGTCTCGTCCTGCTCTCTCACGTCTTCTCACCTCTCTTGTTACGGACTCTCGTGCCTTTCCGTCGTCTGTCACGACCCTTACTGCCACTGTCGCTGACTTTGCCGCCACCTGCCTTGTTGAATACACCACCCGAGTGGTGGCTGCCCGTCCTCTGTCCATCGGGAGTGAGTATTCCCTTGGCTGTGACGTCCTACAGAATAGGCAATTCAAGCTCGAATCTTGGCAGCCTCTTCTCCCAATCTTTGTGCCATGCCGGAGACCCCGATTCCCTTGGCTTCTCGCTCGTACCGTGAGGCAGTGTCAAGGGAGTGGGTCACTCAGTATATAGCCACCATGGATTGAGAGATGGCGTCTTGGAGATCCACAGGCACTTACGTCGACGCAGTTTCCGTTCCCGGGGCGAATGTAGTGGATGGCATGTGGATCTTCAAGGTGAAGCGGCCGCCTGGATCTCCGCATATCTTCAAGGCACGTTGCATGGTTAGAAGCTTTAGTCACGTAAGGGAGTTGACTTCTTCCGGACCTTAGCCTCGACCTCAAAGATGACTACTTATCAAGTGTTACTTCACGTAGCAGCACCGCAAGACTGCAAGCTGCAATCCTTTCTCCACTGCCTTTCTCAAGGGCCCTACATGAGGAGATCTGGCTGCGCCGTCCTCATGGCTCCACTAGGACTATCCTGCCTGGGACCTAGTAGAGCATGAGAAGACTAGTCTACAGACTCCGCCAAGTGCCCCGTGAGTGGCACGACACTCTGCGATCCACAATTGCTGACCTTGGTTTCAAACCTACCACCAAAGCGTCGCTGTTCGTTCTTTCTGAGCCCATACCCTTCATCTTCTACGTCAACGTCTTGGTCTTCGCTACAACAGATTGGGTAGCTCTTGCTGAGGCGAAGTCTGAACTAAAGAAGAGACACACGCGCACAATCCTTGCTGCACTGCGCCGCTACCTTGGCTTGCAAATCACCAGATACAGAGTCGCTCTCACCATCATTCTGACTCAGTCATTCATAATGCAGCAGGTTCTTTAGCGGTTCGGGTTTAAATTCTCTAACGCACAGTCCACTCCTCTTGCCGTTGACCACAGGCTCAGAACCACCTGTTCCTGTTCCTGTTTCTAATGGTCCCCACGCAGAGCTAATGGTTGGCTGCCTCATGTACCTGATGACCTGTACTCGCCCGGACCTCGCTTATCCTTTCAGCATCCTAGCTCGCTTTGTT